GATACCTGCTTTTTCACATTTCTGATAGGGAAACGTACCATTACAATAGAATAAAATTTTAATTGGGGTCGAGAGGGCCCATGGGTATGCTGAACATATTTTGTCCCCGCAAGTGTCCCAGATTCTGAGAATATGTTTAGTGGAAGATAACATATTTTCCCTTCTTTGCCTCAATTGATAAGGTTTCCAAAGTGGTGTTGAAAGATCTTGTGTTCCACAATAGTTGCTTTCTATTGTTTATTGGGGGGAATAAGCCGTCGAGTGGGCGCTGATAACATTCATTAAGATAGCTGAGTGATAATATGCTCTTATATTTGGTATTCCAATTTCTCCGTTCTTCACATTCCTCAGAAGTAGAGCCTTGGGTACTCTAGGGTGTTTGCCACCCCAGCTGAAACGTACAGTAGATGCTTGGAGAGACAATATGTACTTTTGCGGAAGTTTAATATATAATGATCTGAAAAGATATAAAATCTTAGGTAGGATTGACATTTTGAGCGCTGCACTCCTTCCTACCCAAGATAAAAAAATATGCTTCCATGAGTGCAGTCGGTTATCAATTTCTTTCAAAAGCTTCATATAATTAGCTGAGAAAAGTTCTTTCTCTTTATTGGTTATTCTGATACCTAAGAATATTAAGTAATCTTCTCTACAATCATACTGATAGCTTGCTTTTAATCTATCTTCCATTGCTTTAGTAGTGTTAAGGCACATAGCTTGCGTTTTTACGATATTTAGTTTGTAGTATGATTGTTGACTATATATTTGCAGTTCTTTATCCAAAGAAGGGAGTGTTATAAATGGTTGCGTTATTGTAAGAAATACATCATCAGCAAATAAACTAAGTTTATATTCCTTGTTGCCTACTGACACACCATGGATGCTTCCGTTTCTCCGTATTGATATTGCGAGAGGTTCCAAATCTAGCACATATAGAAGTGGAGATAATGGGCATCCCTGACGGGTCCCATTAGTGATTCAAAAAACTTGCGACTGGAAACCTGCATTCAATACTGTTGCTGAAGGTGCACTGTATAGAGCTTTGACTGCAGAAAGAAAAAAAGGGGGAAATCCATAGGCCGATAAAGTTTCCTGAAGGAATGACCAGTTCAGACGGTCAAATGCCTTTTTGGCATCTAGGGATATCATAATACTCTCCTGTTTGGTGCGTTTTAAAATTCCATATAAATCTAGCACTTTCCGAATGTTATCTGGTCCCTTTCTGCCTGTCACAAATCCCACTTGGTCTGTGTGTATTAATGTCGGTATAATATTACTGAGTCGTTCTGCAAAGATCTTAGCATAGAGTTTGGCATCAACATTTAAAAGAGATATTGGTCTAAAATTTTGACACATCGTTGACGATTTCCCCAGTTTAGGGATAGTAATTACATGGGCAGACAGGAACTCAGTCGGGAAAGATCCCAACCTAGTGGCGCTGTTAAAAAAGCTAATAAGAGCTACAATTAATTCATGTTTGAATGTAGTGTAATATACACTAGTGTAACCTTTTGGCATATTTTCAATTAGGCACAACACTTCATCTGTAGTGATAGGTGCACACAATTTTTCTAGATGTTTTGGTGTTATTTGAGGAAGGGCGATGTTTGCCCAGTATGAACGTATAGATATATGCGTGGGTTGAGGTTGAATATGCTGATCTTTCAAATTATATAAACTAGTATAGTATTGTGCAAATTCATTACATATCTGTACTGGTTGCATAACTTTATGGCCCCCATGTGTCTTTATAAATGGAATTCTTGATTGTGCTTATTTGTACCTCAGTCTTTGTGCCAGAACTTTAGTAGCCTTATTTCCCATACAGTAAGATGTCGCCTTTAATTTCTTTATTGCTAAATTAGCTTTCTTGGAATGGATTGCATTAATCTCTTGACGCACTTCCAAAAGTTGCTGTTGAAGAGCTTGGGGGGAGTTTGCTTGGTTTCTCTATGAAGATCCTGTAGTTTTTTAAGGAGAGTAATCAGTGCTGTATGATTTTTTTTTTCTTGAGGTAAGATGCTCTACTTAATAATATCCCACGAATAACGGATTTATGGGCCAACCATAGTGCAGCAGGGTTCGTATCTTCATTATCATTTATACTAAAATAGTGCTGTAATTCATTTCGAATCTTATCCGTAAATGTGGTGTCAATGAGCAGCTGTTCATTCAATCTCCATGGACTTCTGTTTTTATATTGATATGAATCTGTCAGGGTAAGTAGCACTGGGTTATGATCTGATTCTGTCGAACTGCCTGTCTCACAGGAGCTGACTTGCTGTATATGTGTGCTAAGCATGAAATATCCATCTATTCGGGAATATGTATTGTAGACTTGTGAATCATGTGTATATTCCCTAACGTCTGGATTTAGAATTCTCCATATATCGTATAACCCATATGCAGCTAATGTTTTATTAAGTGAGGTACATTGCTTTTGTAGAGCTTTTTTCCTTTTATGTGTACGAGAAGGTGTAGTATCTGCAATAGGATCTAATATATGGTTAAAATCTCCACATATGATCAGAGTTCCTGTTTGCACCTTCTCTACTTCCTCTAATAGATTAGACATATAACTTAGCTGATTCTTATTCGGGAAATAAGAGTTAACTATTGTGTAGGTAGAGTTATTTAATGCACATATAAGAATGATAAATCTACCCCGTGGATCCCATTGGACAGATATCTGATCAAAGGCGAGTGTCTGGTTAACCAATATTGAGACCCCTCTGCTCTTAGATGGGGAAGTGGCATGATATTGATGAGGATAGTTTTTTGCTCCTATTCTAGGATTAGAATCATTTTTTAAAATGAGTCTCCTGTAAGCATATAATATCAGCTTGTGACTTATGAAGTTCTTTAAATAATGATTATCGCTTCTGAGGAATATTTAACCCCCTAACATTATGCGTATAGAATTTAATTCTATCTAACTTCAAATAGGCAAATAAAAACTGTTCTAATTTTTATATTGATATCTTAAATCTATATTATCTCGGTACACAGCAAGAGGGAGGGAAAGAAAGAGAGAGAGAGAGAGAGAGAAAAAAAAGGGGGGGGAAATGGGGGGAGGGGGAAATGGGTCGTTCAATGGTATGTGCCTATTATTGGCACTTCTTGGTTGGGGGAAAATGTATACGAGTCGGGTTCAGAAGATGGCAATCTAAGGCCCTTAATTTATACCACTCATTTAAAGGATGCCACTGCAGAAATTGGCAACGTATATTCTAGTAAGAAACTCTCTAAACCAGTTCCAGAACTAGAAAAAACTTAACGACTATTAATGATTATCAAATAAGCTAATACTTTTATATACATGTATGGTGGACTCCTTCAGCAGTATTATTAAATAAATTATCCTGTTAATTCAGTATTTCCAATAATTACATCTTATCCATTGACGTATATACAGCCCTTTAGATGAACATTGACAAGGTTTATAAGCCCTGAGCGGGTTCCCATAAATAATTCACATCTTCCTTATTCTTTCCCCTCTTTCCTCTGCTAGGTAGGGAAGATGAAGAATAGCATCCAAGTGCATGGAGGAGCCTTATGTTAAATCCAATTAATTGAGCCCTTCCAGGCTGGGATTAAAAAATACATTCTGTGACAAGCCCTTTACCAGCTAATTTTGACTAATGAAAATTGTCAACTCAGTCTTATGCCTTCCCCTGATACATTGAATGCCCTCTTATGTAGCTGTAACTTAGAATACTATAGTGCCAAGTTATCTTATAAGGTATATATTGTACATCCTATATTCCCATTGAGGCCCCTATAGGCTCCTCCATAACTATGTAGGTTATCTACTTAGCTTTTAAATGTGCTATGGTTTAGAAAAGCCTCAAGTGGGTATAATTCTATTGAATATTAAAAATAAGTAAATAGGCGTATCTAACATTTCTATAGTATAATATTCACAATTACCAGAGCACCACATTAATAGCTAGTAAGGGAACACCTTAATTGTCTGTAGCTTCAAATACTATAGTACCTGACAAGTATTTAACTGTATCTTCTTTATTTATTCTCGTTATGGCCCTAAAAGCTGCCCCTTAACCATATGCATTATAACCTTAATTCAAATTATACTATAAAAGAAAAGGGGGAGGAAGTTCCCTTATAATTAAACAAATTGCTTACACACATAACCTGCATTATATAATCTTATAAAGGCTTCTATTCAAAACCGCTAGTTAGATTGCTTACATAGCTTAAATAACTATTTCTATTGCATGCATTTTAGCCCTTTAACCCTTTACCCAATTTACTAAGTGAAACATCTATTTAGCCATTTAACATGTCCTTGTTGCGTCTTATCTAACGGCTTGTATACCAATACCAATAACATAACCTTATTGTAGTCTATCTAGTAGCTTATATATCCGTATATGCCATTAGCATATCACACTGTTCCTATAGCATAAAAAAGATAACAAGAAACAAAACTTGTATACATTCCCTACTCCTGAGCTGTATTATGCTATACCTTTACAAGATACATTATCAAATAGGACAGAGAATAAATCGAGATAGGTCAAATTAAATTATCAAGCAGACAAAATCAAATAATATCAATAAACTTAATCATATCAAACCCTTGCTGGATCTCAGGAACTTGTTGTTAGTCCACTTTCAGTCTAGGATTCCTCATTCTTGTCAGGAACCTTGGTGGGAACTTCCTTCTTCTCATGTCACCGTTACATTAGCTGGTTTTCATAGGATCATCTTGAGGGTTCCTGGTTATACCCCATTCTTGTAGAAGCTATATACCTTCCTCTAGTGATGCCATTGTAGTAGATTTCCCACCTTTCATGATAACCAGCTTAACTGGGTAGCCCCATCTATAGGGAATATTGTTAGATCGAAGTGTCTCTAGTATTTCTTTAAAAGCCCTTCTGTGTCTCAGTGTTTCTGCCGAGAGGTCTGTAAATAAAAGGACATCTTCATACCTCCCAGTCAGTTTTCCCTTACTTCTGTGAATCTGCATTATCTTGTCATTCACCTTGATAATAATGAAGTCTTAATTGCACATCCCTTGGTGTAGATGTAGGCAAATGCTGTGGTCTAGCAAGTCTGTGTATACGGTCGAGTAAGAGCATTTCTGGTGGTATGTCTGGCAAGATGGTCAGGAATAAACCTCTCATATATGATTCCAAGTCCTTTATTTCGACTTCTTCAGGGACTCCGCGTAGCTGAATATTATTACGACGGGATCTATCCTCCACATCGGTTAACTTTAATTCATGTTGGAGTATCCTATCTTCTATTGCATCCAGCCGATCTCCCACCGTTGCATGAGCTACAGTGAATTCTTTAACCTTCCCCTCTAGGTATAGAGTCCGAGCATCTAGGTCTGTAAAACTTTCTTTTAGGTCGGCTATAGCTGCTTCTACTGTCATTAGCATCTTGTTAACTGACGCATCCAGCATTTTATGTATAAGGTTTGCCGTGAGTTGGGTCTCTACTTGTTTCACTGTTGCCTGCGCATAAGGTGTATTTGAAGGAGATAATAAGGGTCATCCTGATTCCTGATCGGACCCAGCTTCCACGCTATCTTGAGCGTTATCTTTGGCCTGACTGAATATATAATTTTAAAATATTTAAATTAATTATGAAATAAATTGAACCCCTGAGTGTTAAAAAATAAATAAAAGTTAAATAAAATGTTTAAAAAAATTAGATCACAGTATAATACTGTGATCTGTATTTTGATCAATGTAGGCAGTGAACCCCTTTTTACAATTTTTTGAAAACTTTTTTTAACTTTTTAAAGCTTTTTTTTTAAACTTTTTTTAACGTTAACCCCTAGCTAGCCTAACACCAAATTCCCCAATTCCCCACTAACTTCCACCCACCCCAGCTAGCTAAATATATAATTTTAAAATATTGTGGGTCTTAACTGTAACTTTATTTATTTTTTTGCAGGGAGAATATCACTGCTGATTAGTATCCCTGCACTTCACACAGAACACTGAAGCACAGGGAGGCAGATCAGAAGTCCCTGCAGTACATGTACTCACTCTGATAGCCAGATCTGGTGCTGCCGGTCTGCCTCGAAGACCCGAGGAGTGTTAATCCAGCAAACGCCAATGACGGAAAATTTCTGTCTTTAGTGTGTTGTTTTTTTTATAAAGAAATTTAAGAAGTCAAATTTGGAGTGAAACAGTGAACATTACCCTGTGCCAGCAGATTGGTGTAAATCATTTGTAAGCGATTAGGGGATAACTATTTAAGATGCATTTCCAAATTATTCATGTTTTTTACAATATCAGAGGCTCTATGACAACCCTGCAACCCTGGTTAGAAAACCTGTGCTATAAACAAGGAAGTGCCCTCTAGTGGCTGTCTAGTAGACAGCCACTGGAGGAGGAGTTAACCCTGCAATGTAAATATTGCAGTTTTTCAAAACTGCAATATTTACAGTTGCAGGGTTAAGGGTAGTGGGAGTTGGCACCAGACCACTCCAATGGGCAGAAGTGGTCTGGGTGCCATGAGTGTCCCTTTTAATCTTTCATTTATTAATGTATCTTTTACAGAAATATTTGGGTAAAGGGATTATAAAAGGTAGAGTTTGCACAGAAGCAAAAATAGCATACTTTATATATAGTAAAACTGATTATAAATTATCAACTGTCTACTACTTTATAAATATACCATCATGGGAAAAAGAAAATAAACCCTCTTTGAATTTCATGGTTTTACAAACCAGGACATAATAACAATCATCTGTTCTTTAGCAGGTTTAAAATTAGGTAAATACAGCCTCAGGTGAATTATTGTTACACCGTACTATGATTTATTTAACAAAATTAACTAAAGCAGTTTTAGTGTATAGATCATTCCCCTGCAATTTCACTGCTCAATTCACTGTCATTTAGGAGTTAAATCACTTTGTTTCTGTTTATGCAGCCCTAGCCACACCTCCCCTGGCTATGATTGACAGAGCCTGCATGGAAAAAAAACTGGTTTCACTTTCAAACAGATGTAATTTACCTTAAATAATTGTATCTCAATCTCTAAATTGAACTTATATCACATACAGGAGGCTCTTGCAGCTATTAACATAGCAGGGGATAAGAAAATAATAATTAAATAGAACTAAAGAAAGCCTAAATAGGGCTCTCTTTACAGGAAGTGTTTATGGAAGGCTGTGCAAGTCACATGCAGGGAGGTGTGACTAGGGTTTATAAACAAAGGGATTTAACTCCTAAATGGCAGAGGATTAAGCAGTGAGGCTACAGGGGCATGTTCTATACACCAAAACTGCTTCATTAAGCTAAAGTTGTTCAGGTGACTATAGTGTCCCTTTAAAGCCAAAACAGAGAAGCTGTATGTGAAACACTTCCATAGGAATTAAGATACGAAGGAGCAGGCAGGTACTGCTAATCAAATGCCCTTGATAGTTGCCCTTGATAAAAGCTGAAGTTTTAATAGTTTGCTGGTCTGGAGCATTCAAGTGTGTGTTAACAAAATATCAATGAGGGAAGACATCAGCAATAATCTTAGAGAAGCAATTATTGTTGCCTATCAAACTGAGAAGGGTAAAGGGCCATTTCCAAACAATTTAAAGTCTATAATTATACAGTGAGAAGGATTATTCAAAAGTGGAAAACATTCAAGCCAGTTGCCAATCTTCCCAGGAGTGGATATCACATCAAATTCACCCCATCTCAGACTGTGCAATGCTCAGAGAAACTGGAAAAAAAAACAAGAGTTACATCTCAGACTCTACAGGCCTCAGTTACCATGTTAAATGTTAAAGTTCATGACAGTACAATTAGAAAAAGACTGAACAAGTACAGTTTGTTTGGAAGGGTTGCAAGGAGAAAGCCTCTTCTCTCTAAAAAGAACATGGCAGCAAGGTTTGCAAAGTGGCATCTGAACAAACCACAAGAATTCCAGAACAATGTCTGTTGGATAGATGAGACCAAAGTGGAGATGTTTGGCCATAATGCACAGCGCCATTTTTAGCGAAAACCAGACACAGCATATCAGCCCAAACACCTCATACCAACTGTGCACGGTGGTGGAGGGGTGATAATTTAGGCTAGTTTGAAGCCACAGGGCCTTGGAACCTTGCAGTCATTGAGTCAATCATGAACTCCTCTGTATACCAAAGTATTCTAGAGTCAAATGTGAGGCCATCTGTTCCGACAGCTAAAGATTGGCTGAAATTAGGACAATGATCCTAAGCACACCATCAAATCTACAACAGAATGGCTGAAAACAAAATGGCCCAGTCAAAGTTCAGACTAAACCCAATTGAAATGTTGTTGCAGGACTTTAAGAAAGCTGTGTATTAACAAATGTCAGTAAATCACAATGAACTGAAGCAATATTGTAAAAAGAACAAGAAAAAAAGACTGATAAAGTCATACAGAAAATGATTACTTCAAAGTAGTTTTCATGCTATTGAGTCATAAGGTGGCTTCTCTATTTTGGCTTTATGTTTGTTAAATAAATCATGACACATGTGTTATACACATGTGTTATAAGTCATGTGTTGTTCATCTGAGATTGTGTTTACCTAATTTTAAGCCCTAATTTTAAGGCCTGCTGAGGAGCAGATGATTGTTATTATTTCCTGAAATGTATTACCATAGAAGAGGGTGCACTTTCTTTTTTACATGACTGTACATAAGGAACGTAATAGCATTTCTGTTTTTAAAAAAATATCACCAAAATGTAAAGTGTTTCTATGTGTGCATAATGCTGACATAAAGTAAGAGCAGTTACAACAAGCATCTGTACTGTACTGGGGACTGCAGTCTGACAGTGACACACGCTGTGGCAAATACATGTTCATACACTGTGTTAAACACAGTTACTGAACTTACTTATATGTAGAATTTTGCTGTTAATATTACAACTTGCCCTCTCTAAGATTCGCCACTAACCTATCAGCTTAGTACCATAAACATGCATATAGAGGTTAAAGCGGCAGTCATGCCGAACTTACCTTTCCTCAATCTCTTCCTCTTTTCCCCCTCTCTCGGGATCTGTTATTCTTTTCTTCTTGTCTTCTTTAGTTTTCTTTAAAATCATAAGACAAAGTAGGGACTCTTTGCCTTATGGAGGATTCCTCCGCTTGACCAGCTCTGAGCAGCGGAGGAGCAAAGTGTGCTTCATTTCCGCTGGTCAGAGCAATTTTCCCATGATACTTACCTTTCCTCTGTGTTCCCACAATGCTTCCTGTCATTTTAGACGAAACTGCCGAATTGCGTTCTAACTGAATGAGAACAGTATGTTCGTTTCTTTTAGAACACAATTCGGCACTTTGTTCGTATCGGAATTTCATTCTAATGAATGAAACTCTGATCCTATTCATTGCCGCGGCTGCATCTTGCAGCCGCTTAGTAGATAACTCCCTAATTCCCACGGTATCAGGGAGCTATCTACTAAAAGGCTGAAAGACCTAAATTGGTCTTTCAGCCACATTTACTAATACTAAGTAAAGATTACTTAGTATTAGTAAATAATATGCCCCTACTCGCTATATCGCGAGTAGGGGCATGTGTAGTAAGCAGTGAGCAGCTTATAGCTGCTCACTGTAAAAAAACAAACAAAAAAAAATAATAACCTACTGTCCCCCCCCCTGGCCTCCACCCCTGCGCGGTGGGTGGGGGGCCTAATAAAACAATAAGGGGGGGACGGACCTACTGTCCTCCCCCCCTGGCCCCCACCCCTGAGTGGTGGGTGGGGGCCCTAACTAAAGATAGGGGGGACCTACTGCCCCCCCCGGCCCCCACCCCTGCACGGTGGGTGGGGGCCCTAATAAAACAATAAGGGGGGGGACCTACTGTTCTCCCCCCCTGGCCCCCACCCCTGCATGGTGGGGGGCCCTAATAAAACAATAAGGGGGGGACCTACTCCTCCCCCCTGGCCCCCACCCCTGAGCGGTGGGTGGAGGCCCTAATAAAACAATAAGGGGGGAGGACCTCCTGTTCTCCCCCCCTGGCCCCCACCCCTGCATGGTGGGGGGCCCTAATAAAACAATAAGGGGGGGACCTACTCCTCCCCCCTGGCCCCCACCCCTGAGCGGTGGGTGGAGGCCCTAATAAAACAATAAGGGGGGAGGACCTCCTGTCTGCCCCCCTGGCCCCCAACTTCTGAGCGGTGGGGGCCATAATAAAACAATAAGGGGGGACCTACTGTCCTCCCCCCCTGGCCCCCACCCCTGAGCGGTGGGTGGGGGCCCTAATAAAACAATAAGGGGGGGGACCTACTGTCCTCCCCCCCGGCCCCCACCCCTGAGCGGTGGGTGGGGGCCCTAAATGAAACACCCCCCCAATCAAGGTGACTAGGGGTCCCAAGCCCCTAGTCATCCCCCCCAACCCAAAAAAAAACCTATCCCCTACCTACCCCCCTCACCCTAAAAATAGTGAGGGGGGAATAAAATAACTAA